ATGCCACGGCGGGGCCACAGGTGTCGCAGGTTGGCGAAAGCCGCTCTAGCGTTCGCTATTCGTGATGTGATCTCTTCCGCAACCCTACCTCCAACTGTGATTAAGCTCCCGAGGTACTTAAAGCTCTTGACCATTCCTATCTGATCGCTAAAAAGAGTAAGCGCAGACACAGGCTCCTGCTAATCTTGAACAAGCACTTTGCACTTTGATGATGCAAAGCACATACCACACCTGGATACCTCTATCGCCAAGCGGTTCAAAGCGTTTTGGACTGCCTGTGTTTTCATCAAGCAAGGCGATGTCATCGGCATATTCCAAGTCAAGAACTCTGTTCGCTGGGAAGAGTTCGACTCCACCGTTTGCAAGACCGGACAAAGTATTTTGTAGAACATCCTCTATGGCGAAGTTGAAAAGAAATGGGGATATACGGGCAGCCTTGCCGAACTCCACTGGCGACGTTGAAGGGTGGCGAAAGTTGGCCATAGGCCTTGAGGTATGACGATACAACTCTTTGAGGATCGACGCATTTCTTAGGTGCTCCATTCCTCAACAAACAGCTCCATAGTGCGGTCCTATCAATGGAGTCGAAGACCGCACGGGGGGGGGGGGGTGAAGAATTGATCGATGCATCTACGACCGGCACGAAACCCAGCCTGCTCCTCGCGGGCCTGCTCCTCATGCGTATTGCACAATCGGCGGAGAATGACGGACACCAACAACTTTGACGTTATCGGGATAAGGCTTATGCCCCTATGATTGGCGCAATCATTGCGCAGGCCCTTTTTGAAGATGGGGAGAACAATCGATTCCCCCACGAGGGGACCTGCTCAGTATTCCATACTTTAGAGAATAGTACTTGTAGTTCTGTAAGAAGCTTAATTCCGCCATCTTTAAATAGGGCTGGGGGAAGATCATCGGAGCCCAGCGCTTTGTGACGTCCCAAGGCTTGGATCTCCCTATGGATTTCTGCCTCAGGTGGGTCTGTTGAGACAGACCATGGGACGTGTGCCGGAATAGCTGTGTGAGAAGCTGACGCTGGAGGCCAGCTAAACTGTGCTGTGAAGTGCTCCGCCCAGCGTTCAAGATGTCGCTGTTGATTGTGAATGGGCGGACCGTCAGCTTCGCAGATCGTTTCGCTCACACCCAAGACTTTCCTACCGGTGACCCGGATGAGATGGAACAGCTTACGAGAATTACCCATGGCGGCAGCACGTTCCATCTCTAACGCGTGTTGAGTTCACCAGATCTCGCGGTCTCTGCGTACGTCTCGTTACGAGTCGTTTCATAACGCTCGCTGCTGGTCGGAATAGACCGACATGCGTCAATAAGGTGCAGAGACTGCAGAGATCCAGGGTGTCACGGTGCGACGTGTCAGATCATAAGTAACTAAGCCAGCAGAATGCAGAGCATTCTCGACAAGCGGCCAGTGTGGTTAACGTCATCGGGTGAGGTTGGTAGTAGCTTTGCAGCTAGTGCGTTTTGGAAGACAGACAAGCTGGTTTGGACAGCTTATCACAGTCTAACCGTCGTCGTGCGTTTAGGGCGCCAACCGAAACACATGGACAGCTTAGCGCATACTAGTGCGTAGTCGGATTCGAGGGGAGTGCTCCAGTACGATCGGTAATTTTGCATGCAACCCCGCCATTTGTGGCTTATAGCGATGTGGTCGATCTGCGTCCGTCTCTGATTCGAGGAAGGCGGGCGCCAAGTGGCGTACCGGCAGTTGAAGCGTCTGAAGTTCGTACTGGCGAGGAACAGGCGGTAGTCGGAACACAAAGCCAACAGCCGCTCTCCGTTTTCCGAGCGACAGGAATCTAGTCCGAAAGGACCTCCCAGGTGCGCCTCACTCGAAGTCAACCGGCCTACTCTAGCATTTATATCTCCTGCTAAAATCACGATATCAGCCCGAGTTAGTTTACGCAAGAGGTCGTGTAGATTGTGGTAAATTTCATCTTTGACGTCATCTGGGCTGCAGTCCGTTGGAGAGTACGCCGATAAGACAAACAAATTTCGTCTATCGGGGCGACGGTTGCCTACCTTGCACGAACCTCTGAGTCTCACTGCGCACAACCTACTGTCGACTGGGATCCAATCCAGGAAGACGGCCTCAGCTCTATCTATTACTGAGAGCTACGCCGGCACCAGCAAGACCGAAAGCCGAAGTCCCAGGGTCCCCAGAGAGGCATAAGTGAAACTTCACAGATTGGGTAAATAAGGAGGTCAACCGGATAATGGAGCTGGAGTCTTGAACGCGAGTTTCTTGGATGCAACAGACATCGATGGCTAGGGTTTCGAGGGTACCAACTAAACACGCCTGTTGTCCTATACATATCAGAGTACGCACATTAAACGTGGCTAGTTTGAAAGGGCATCGAGGGCGGAGGAGGGCTTCAACTGGTGGAGGATTCGGTGGGACTTGGACAACAGTCGAGGTAGGACAACGGCGAACAGCGGCAGAATTTCCGCCCGAGGCACTACTGCTAGTACGATCGTCTGAAGTACCCGAGAGAGATGGAATAGAGTTGGGAGGGTAGAGGTGAGGTGGGGGGAGGCTGGGAGGACAAAAGGGTGTGTACGGTGTAGAAAGTCTTTCCATCGTTGAAGGTTTAGAGTGCGAAATCATGAGAGCGAGGATGTTCATGGTTGTCTGCGTTCCACTAAATCTAACCAAATGTCAACAGTTAAGGACAAGAAGGGCAGGTATCTCTGACTAAATAGGGCACCTGATGGAAACAACGCATGCCAAGGACCTAGGTGTGGTGGCCTCTAGTGACTTCAAGCCCTCCAGGCAGTGCATAGCGGCAGCCAATAAGGCTAGAGGGGAACTCTTTAGGATAACGGCGACGATGTTATGCAGGGACCCGCAGATTCTGCTCCCGTTGTATAAGGCTTTCGTCCGGCCACATCTGGAGTAGTGTCTAAGCATGGGCACCACGCTTACAGAAGGACCTGGATTGCCTAGAAAGATTCCAAAGGCTAGCCACCCGAATGGTATCCGGCCAGAGACAAAAGGAGTACGAGTACAGACTAAAAGACCTAAGCCTGTTTTCCCTCCGATGCAGACGCATGAGGAGTGATTTGATTGAAACGTTCAAAATGAACGGTTTGTCGGGCATCTATTCTACTCTCTGCGCTCCCAGACAGTGGCAACAGGGGGCATAGCTTCTGAATCCAACGTAATCAGAGTAGGCCGTGCATCCGAGCCAGTTTATTCATCAACAGTGTGATCCCACTATGGAATTGGCTACCAGAACAAGTGGTCAAATGTAGCACTGTAGTGCTATTTAAGACCGCCTTGGATGAGTGCTGGAGAACCGTCTATTCAAAATCGGCCTACCAAGGAGTAAAGAGCTAACAAAACACGTGCTCTAACAGGTAAGGTTTTGTTTACCGACAGCTATGTATGCTGGAGATAGGTGTTCCCTGTTGGGTCTTGCTGTGAATCGCACAAGCCCAGACCGCTGAGGTCTTATGTGTCTATTTTCAGAAAAACCCCAGCTGGAAACGCCCGCTGACGACTGAGGTAACTGGACCCACCAACGAAAACGAAATGTCACGGTAGATCACTGGAATCGACTATACAGTGTTGGAAGCTAAAAACACCCACCAACAACATAACAATCTGGACGCTCGATTGGCTCGATTGGCCACATCTCGTCCTGTGCATACTGAACTGAACTGATTTCGATGGGTCTTAAAGGGTCCCTAAGTGAAATAGTGCCGTTTTCTTACGCCGGCAACACAGGGACAAATCTCTCTGGTGTACCACCCTATCATTTCATGTTCAACAGATGTCAACATGCACAACTGCGGCTTTTAGGATGTAGCTTTCTGTCATAAAAACATTCCATACATGTACCCTGTTCATGTTGGCCGGTCCATATAAAACGTGCGAAACACTGAATGTTAAATGTTCTTTAATTAGAGGCAGTAGGAAACTTCCCGCATGAGCCTCGTCACCGCAGACTCGAAGAATGCATTTAGGACTGATCTGCATTTCACATTCCGCGAAGGATGCTGTCGAGCTTCCTCTTGAACATATCATTAACCTCGTCCATCGCATCGGCCGGGAGTTCCATAGGTTGGTTACTCTGCGTGATAGTCGGTACCTAAGAGGTAATCCTGTCGACGGAAGCTTCTGCAACGGAAGTCTGTGTCCACGAGTCCTGCTCTGCTCGAGCAGAGGGAAGTACTCCATTAGCTCTGGGCCCACGTCACCACGTAGAATACGTCGTACATATATGATGTCACCCCGTACTCGGCGATATGAATCTGGGAACAATCCAGTGGCATGCAATTGTTCAGTGTAGCAACGCCCACGTTACCCCGCAATCACGCCAGTGGCGGCTCGTTGGACCTTCTCCAGCTTCACAATTTCGGAAGTTGTACAAGGATATAATGCTGCGCTCGCGAACTCCAAGCGAGGTCTGACATGGGAGGTGTACAGCGCCCTGGAACCACCGTATGAAAGCTTGGAAAAGGAACGGCGAATGGCTCCAAGGATTCTCCAACTCAAGGCGCAGGCTTTGTCTGTTTGCTCCCTGGTTTTAAGGACGTGGAAACCAACACCCCGAGATTCCGTTCGCATGCGGATGCCAGTAAGTGAGTGTCCATAAGGTGGTACACTCTTGGACTGGGCTGCCGACCAATGGACATATAATGGCACTTTGTAAGGTTGATGGGTTAATTCCACGCTTGCGACCAGTGCATCAAAGAATCCAGGTCTCTCTGCAGGGTGTTCACGTCACTTTCTGACTGGATAAATCTCCAGATCTTCAGATCATCATCAGATCAACAGACATTCCGATTCCAGGCAGTCTGGCAGGTCATTGATGAAAAGCAGAAACGGTACCGATCCTTGCGGAACGCCACTAGAAACTGTCAAACATGATGATTGTGTCTTTGACGCTTTCACCGAGAATAGTCTGTCCTCAACCCAGGAGAGAAGCGGGTCCTGGATGCCCAACGGCCAGTAGTTTTCAATGAGACACCTTGTCAAACGCTTTACTGAAATCCACGAACACAACATCCGTGGAATAACCTTCAGCTCTAGACTCCACCCAATGCTCACGCGCCAAAAGGAGATTGGATAAACAGGAGCGGCCCTGTCGGAAGCCATGTTGTCGAGAATACGATGTGGCGCCTCCAGGTAACTGATAATGTGCTTCGCCACTAATTTCTCTAGCACCTTACAGGCCACACAAGTCAAACTCACAGGCCGATAGTTGACCGGAGCATGCTTATCACCATCCTTGAACAAGGGAAGAACCGGCGCTTTCTTCTAGTCTGATGGTAATCGGCCAGTCCGGAGGGACAAGTCGAACATTTGGGCTAGCGGGGTTGATACGACATCAACTAGCTCCTTCAGCACCAACGGGTGAACTCCATCTGGACCCGGGATTGGTATTGACTAAGTCCACGTAGTACCTTGGCGACGTCGTTGGCCTCCAGATAGGGGACACTGATTGGGAGCACGTCAGGAGGGTGTGGACACAAAACCCTATGACGCGGTGAGGGTGAGGAATTTGAGATCTCTGCTCCTGTGTACGCAGAAGCATAATGCCGAGCAAGTACACCAGCCTTGTCCACATCAGTGTTAGCAGTGATTCCATTCTTAACAAGACTCGGGAGTCCAGGCACCGGCCTGGTCCTCCTTTCCAAGTATGCAAATAGCATCTTCGGTGCCGTGGCAGATTTGGCAGCTAGATGCTCCTCGAAAGCATGGTGTTTGGCCACCTTAGCTGCCGAACACTGGTTCCGTGTTGGTTGGTATTCATCGTGGCCTGCATTCGAATAACGGTAGTGCTTCCAAGCACGATTTCTCCTGCGGAGCGTACTTCTAAGCTCACGATCGAACCAGGGTGGTCCCATGGCATGAGACCGGCTCCTGCGTACAGGGGTGGATCGTTGCACCGGCTGTAGTAGGCAGTCTCGGATAACACACCACGACCCTTCGACATCTTCTTTGTCGATCGGCTCCCAATTTAACAACTGCGCCGTGGTACGCATGTCATCGAACTGTATCCGCCATACATCCCGTCCCTCTGGGGGTGGTTGTGAGAATAGGGCCCCTCGTCTCCAGTATACAATCAACACCACATGACCAGTTGGTTTCACTAGTATCCTCTGTAAAGGACTTGAGACAATCGTTAGAAACGGTATAAGTGAGCATACTGCGTGCTGCAACCTACTATCCCCGACCCAACATGGGTTCCTCAAAAAGATGTCATGTCTCAGCAACCTGTTGTGCTTCCTAGATGAAGGCACAAGGAAGTTGGGCGAAGGCCTAAAAGTCAAAGTTTGTTACTTAGACTTTAGAAAGGCTTTTGAATCGGTTGATCACCGATTACTCCTTAAAAGGCTTGAGAACTTTCGCCTTCCTGGGACTCTGCTTAAATGGATAGGGGCGTTTTTGAACAGGCGGACCTTCATGGTTCGGGTAAAAGAGGCACTATCGACGGAGGGGAAAGTCACTAGTGGGGTGCCACAGGGCCACGTTCTAGGCCTGATACTTTTCCTGCTGTACGCCGATGACTTAGTTAGGGGTTTGTCCATCCCGACATTCGTGTCTACTGACGACGTAAAGTTAGTTAACTCAAGCCCGCGAGACCAACTACTGGAAGACCTAACAAAGGTTATCCGTTGGACTCAGATATGGGACCTAGACCTAAACCCGTCAAAGTGTCACATATTGAACACTGACGGTGGTCCAATTAGTGTAAGCAGGGATTCGGAAACCACCGAACTAACGCGCGTAGCCCAAACGAAGGACTTAGGGATAGTAGTTTCCGAAAATTACAAGCCAGGTGAACGGTGCAAAGCCGCAGCACAAAGGGCGAGAGGTCAACTATTCCAGTTGAGAAATACACTGACCACTCGAAAGGCAGGAATCTTTATCCCTCAGGTAAAACCCCACCTAGAATATTGTGTCCAGGCCTGGGCACCCCACCTTCAGAAAGACATCCAGTGTATCGAGAAGGTTCAAAAATTGGCCACTCGGATGGTCTCGGGCATGAGGGGCAAATCATATGAAGAAAGGCTTGTAGCGTTAGACCTCTTTTCTATGAAAAGAAGACGCCTTAGAAACATTTATAATTAAATGATTCACTGCCGTAAGCGCCGAAAGTTTGTTCACTCAAACGCCCGTGGAGGTGACCAGGGGACACAGTTTAAAGCTCCTAAAACAAGGGCTCGCCTCGGTGTGTGATTTAACTTCTACACGAACCGAGTGGTTGACTTCTACACGAACCGAGTGGTTGACAGATGGAATCAGCTACCACCACACCTGATGGAATGTGCGACTACAGTCGACTTCAAGAGGCAGTTAGACATGGTTTGGACCCAACTACACCCAGAGGTAGTATAGCAGCGGGGTCTGAGGTTGTTTAGAGTTGACATATTTCTTGTTTCCCAAGTATACTTGGGAAATAAGGGAGATTATAATCTCCCTTACAGATATCGTACTGGAACCAGTTTCCTGCCGGAAAACAGTTGCAAGACAGCGACTGAAACGAGTTTGAAGCTTTGGGAGAAGAAAGCTTCCTACCGGAGCAAGAATGAGGAGGCTTGGTTGGCGAAAGCGTTTTCCGGTCTATGATACCTGACCTGACCTGATCACTGGCACCGAAAGCTGGGAGAAACTGGATGTGAGATACGTCCGAGGCACGAGGAGTTAGAAAAAGATCCAGTGTGGACAATTACTGACCAAGACTGCAGGTGGGTTTTTGCACATATTGATGAAGGGCGAGTTCACAGACTGTTGAATGCAGTTCCCGAGGGAAGTGGTCAGCAGTCGTGGAGTAACAGTTCGGGACATCAGAATGAATTCACTACGGCTTTTAAGCCATGTGTGCATGCCATACACGCTAGTAATTACAGTACTTTACATGGGTACAACTTTTAAGGAATTATCATACTTGACCTTAAGTTGAGGTACGATAATTTATTCTAACGGGAATAAAAAAGATGGAGGGGGTGACCGTAGCCCATGTGCGCCACAAATTACTACCAAGGTGATTTTCAGATAATTTATTGAGTGAAAGCTTTAACTCGCAGTACTTCGTAATTTCGAGATCAGACAAATACCACGTCGAACCGTTTAGCGGATCACCGTACCCCGACCTTGATACGCGGGTACGTCGACGTACTGCGTATCAGTTCAGTTCAGTCAGTCAGTCAGTCAGTCAGTTTGCACAGGACAGGAGATGGCTACGACCAATCGAGCGTCCAGATTTCCTCCGGTAGTAAGCCCCGTTCCGGCCCCTACCACTGCGAGTGTTCTATATTGCAGTTCTAGACGTTTTCTTCACGTCTCAGTTGTCTCCGTCTCTGCAAGGGAAGAGGGTAAAGAAAAAGTATCTTCTCCCCTTGTTCAGGCGAGAGACCTCACGTTTGGAAGCGTTCCCCGGATGGGGGTGGTTAGTAAACGAAAAACCCACCCCTGTTTCCAGGTCATAACCTATGCGTCTATTTCGGGAAATAAAGTTAGCCAGCGCTTATCGAGCTCCTTCTTGAAGGTATATACGCTCCCTAGCTCTACCAGCTCCGGCGGCAGCTTATTCCACACGTTGACTACCCTGTTGCTGAAAAAGTTCGAACGCACCGCTAGTCTCGTGCGCAATTTCTTCAGCTTGTACATGTGCCCCCTAGTATTGCTTTGCATTCTCTCGAAGAACACCGCTTGCTCCGTCCCTGATAGTCCATTCATAATTTTGAATGTCTCGATCAAGTCACCTCGGAGTCTTCTTCTTTCTAAGGAGAATAGCCCAAGATCCTGCAGTCTCTGCTTATACGACTTCCCCCGTTGTCCTTCGATCATCCTCGTGGCTAATCTTTGGACCCTTTCGAGACAATCCGCATCCTTTTTGAAGAAGGGAGCCCAGGCTTGTATACAATACTCTAAATGCGGCCGCACAACGGCTTTATACAAGGGTACGAATACCTCCGGTTGCCTACATGATAGTGCCGACCTCAATCTGAAGAGCTCACTGCGGGCACGATGCGCCGCTGCGGCACACTGTTCCGCCCATTTGTAGTCTGCAGTCACTATGATTCCTAAATCCCTAGCTTTCTGAGTCGTTCCTAGAGACAGACCGCTATGACTACCCCCCACTATCAGCCCTTCGTCTCCAGTGGTCAAAACATGACTCTTTCCTACGTTGAGAGGCAAATCCCATGTATTTGACCACTTGAGCACTTCACCTATATCCCTCTCCAGTTCCGCTCTCCCATTTGATCCTACAACCTTGACGTCGTCCGCAAATATATAGCTAGGCGAGCCAAGGCGTTCAGGCAGATCGTTGATATAGAGCAAGAAGAGGAGTGGCCCTAGAACCGACCCTTGAGGGACACCACTAGCAATAGCCTCCACAGGTGAGTTAGCTTCTCCGACCCGCACCTGGAAAGTCCGATCGGTCAGGAAATCCGTTAACCACCTGTGAATGTTACCACTTATCCCAAGAGCATCTATTTTGGCCAGCAGTAAGCGATGACATACTGAGTCAAATGCTTTGCTGAAGTCCAGATAGCATACTTCCACTTGCTTACCCTCGTCTAATCTCGCTGTGACTTCATCTAAGAAGTGCAACAGATTGCTGAGACAGGATTTTCCCTTCAGAAACCCATGCTGTGCCGCAATCAGCAAACTGTGCCCAACGGCCAGTTGTTTTGAATGAGACACCTTGTCAAACGCTTTGTTGACACACACGGGGAGAAATCGCATTCCAAATGTCAGGAGAAGTGCGGTTATTGTCAACTATCTCAATCCCTGGTGGCAACTCAGTACTAATATCGATCCGCAGCAAACTCATCTCAGTGAGGTGCTTCAAGACTCCGGCGGTACCGTGAGTTACATTTCATTAAAACCGTCTGTAACAGCTATCAGATCACAGTAGCAGTCACTCATCGTGTATTAGATGAACCTGGCAAATTCTGTTTGGCGAATTGGTGTATTATGTGCTTGAGTACGTCGCGTTTCAATTTCTCTGCAGCACTAATCCTCTCTTCCCATAAAACTAAGTCCCTCAATGAGTTCGATAATAGTATACTGGAAATGAGATTCTGAATTTGTTGGATTCCCCATCCAGATGATCGTATGTCGTCAAAATAGCGTTTATTGAAAAATATTTCGTCTATCCCTTTATGCACAACATTCAAGGCAGTGAATGCGGATTATTAAAGTCGTTTATCCTTCAAATCAATGGTATGACCCAAAGTTCAAGAGAACGGAATATTTAATATTTGGAGATGTGAAACTATTCTCGTTTGAGTAGTTATCACATTCACTTTTGCGGCTGAACCCCGCATTATATTCATGTCCAAGCTAGATTACCCCCGGGTGCGA